AATCGGAAACAAAAACCCTAAACCCTAAACCCTTAACCCTTAACCCTAAACCGACTCAACCCTTACAGCACCGATGATATCGAAACCAGAACAGACCCTTAAACCCTAGACCCCTAAGCTTATCTCGCTCCGAACTCGAAGCGCTAGACCCCAAACCCGAAAACCTAAACCCCTAAACCCTAAATCCTAAACCCTAAACCCTAAACCCTAAACCCTAAAACCTTTTCTGCCCTAAACCCCAAACTCTACACTCTAGACTGTGCCCTAAGGCTCCAAATGGCCCAAACTAGGTTACTCGTAGACTTTAGACCCTAAAGTAGGTATTCTTCTAGACCCAGGAGTTACCTAGAAATGAAAAGGGTACCCTTTTTGGTTTCAAAGGGATTAGAATGATTAGAAGGGAACCCTACCCTAAAAAAGGAAGCAAGGGCCCACTCCGCATCCCAGTATTTGTATACGTGGAGCAGGGCTAAGCCCAACTTCATTAACTAGGGGTACCTTCTTGGGGTCCTTCCTCTAAGGGAATCCTACTCTTTGGGGGTCCATGTTAGGGTCCCTTATTTTCGTAAACCCTAATCCTCTAAACCCTGAACCCAAATCCCTAAACCCTAAACCCTAAACCCTAAACCCTGAGCCCTACTTCAAGCCAGGAGCGGAATCACCTCCATCGCGCTCCAAAGCCTCAGCCCGGCTTCGGGGGCAGCTGCGGGGGGTTTGGGGGTTCAGGGTTTAGGGGTTTAGGGGTTGGGGGGTTTGGGGGTTTAGGGATTTAGGGGTTTAGGGGTTTAGGCATTTAGGGGTTTGGGGGTTTGGGGGTTTGGGGGTTTAGCGGTTTAGGGTTTAGGGTTTAGGGTTTCGGGCTTGGGGTTTAGGGTTTGAGGTTTGGGGCTCCGGTGAATTAACTTAGCTTGATACGGCTGGAAACACTACAACTAGTTCTTATGGTAACAGCAACACCGTTGGCCCGCGGATGAAACGGGCATTCAAGGTGCGGACGAGTCCAAAGCACAGCTCTCATGATTCTTGGCAGATATACCAACCCAACCACAGCAAGCATGTGACGTCTGTGATGGCATTCATTTGGCATGCGCTCATGCCCGGCATTGTTGCAACAACTGCACAGGAAGACCATCTACACATCACATGTCGTCCATGTCATGGACCAACTATTTGAACCCTTCTCCAGCATTCTCCGGACGTGTTGGGCAGCTTGGGATGTGCACGAACTGGTATTTACCTGAGGCTTGGTGGAAATAAACCCTAAACCCTAACTCCTAAACCCTAAACCCTAACCCTAAACCCTAAACCCTAATTTTGCCGGCGTAGACCCCAAACAGTGAGGAGGGCCAGAAAAGGCCAAAGAAGGCCAGAAGAGCACCGACACTCCCGCGGACAAAAAGTACAAGAGTTCGTGGGGGGCCGAATTCCCTTGGGGGTCAAAAAGACGCCAACCACTGGGGGATTCAGCTTTGCACGCGTGTGGAACTTGAGGGCCAAAAGACCCAGCTGATGCTCATGATGCTCAACACCAAAATCGCTACCCCATAATACTAACCCCCGGCACCCAGGCGCAGGGTTGACCCTAAACCCTAAACCCCCCCTAAACCCTGTGTTTTTATTGATCCTACCCCCAAATGGTCTCACCGCGCGCACCGTTGCGGTCGGCAACCTAAGTGGCCCCGCCTGAAGAGGCCACGAGAGGCCGGAATTCGCGCGAAACCACAGCGGGAGCAAATGCAACGGAATTCGCGCGAAACCACAGCGGCAGCATCGAAACGCAACGGAATTCGCGAAACCACAGCGGGAGCGTCGAAACCAAGGCCCCGTCCCACCCCGCGCCCCGTTGCGGTCGGCAACCTAAGTGGCCCCCCCAGAAGAGGCCTGAAGAGGCCACGAGAGGCCGGAATTCGCGCGAAACCACAGCGGGAGCAAATGCAACGGAATTTTCGCGAAACCACAGCGGCAGCATCGAAACGCAACGGAATTCGCGCGAAACCACAGCGGGAGCGTCGAAACCAAGGCCCCGTCCCACCGCGCGCGCCGTTGCGGTCGGCAACCTAAGTGGCCCCCCCATGCAGAAGAGGCCTGAAGAGGCCACGAGAGGCCGGAATTCGCACGAAACCACAGCGAGAGCGTCGAAACCATCGGTCGGCAACCTAAGTGGCCCCCCCAGAAGAGGCCTGAAGAGGCCACTAGAGGCCGGAATTCGCGCGAAACCACAGGGGGAGCATCGAAATGCAACGGAATTCGCGGGAGTGTCGAAACCAAGGATCCGTCCCACCGCGCGCGCGCGCGCGCGCCGTTGCGGTCAGCAACCAATTCCTTTACTCTGAACGTAAGAACCCCATTGTGCAAGCACTGTTTGGGGAATTATGGGGTACAGAACTTCCTGTCACTGCCTGCCTATGCAAGCCAGCTGCCTTGAAGTTGCTCTTGCTCTTGTTGAGGCTGAGCCGGAAACCCTAAACCCTAAACCCTAAACACTAAACTCTACACCCCCAAAACCCGAAACCACACAATCATCTCAGCTCACTGCTTCGTCGTAGAGCCTGCACGCGCGCGCCGCGGTCTCCTCAGCTGGGATCGTACCAACTAGCCCATAAATTCCCAGAGCAAGGGTTTAGGGTTTAGGGTTTAGGGTTTAGGGTTTAGGGTTTAGGGTTTAGGGTTTAGGGTTTAGGGTTTAGGGTTTAGGGTTTAGGGTTTAAGCTTTAGGGCATGAACCAAAATGGCCCCTCTACAGCCCCCCGCAGAGTCCCTCCTGTAGAGTCCCTAGACACAGGCTTCCCTAAGCCCGAGGCCCTGAACCCTAAACCCTAAACTACCCTAAAACCTGAAAACCCTACACCCTAAAACCTAAACCGTACACCCTAAACCCTAAAAACCCGAAACCCTAAACCCTAAACCCCGAGCCCTAAATCTCCAGAAGCGAAGGAGCCAGAGGCGCGTCCGAAATCTGATCCAGAGCCTTTGCGGCCTGCGAGCTTCAGGGTATAGGGTTTAGGGTTTAGGGTTTAGGGTTTAGGGTTTAGGGTTTAGGGTTTAGGGTTTAGGGTTTAGGGTTTAGGGTCCAGAGTGCAGGGTTGAAGGCTCCAAAGCCTTACAGGCAGATCCCGAAGCCCCCTAAACCCTAAACCCTAAACCCTAAACCCTAAACCCTAAGCCCTAAACCCTAAGCCCTAAGCCCTAAACCCTAAACCCTAAACCCTAAACCCTAAACCCTAAACCCTAAGCCCTAAACCCTAAACCCTAAACCCTAAACCCTAAACCCTAAACCCTAAAGCCCTAAACCCTAAACCCTAACCCTAAAAAACCCTGCCTGAACCCCTGAACCCCTGAACCCCTGAACCCCTGAACCCCTGACCCCCTGAACCCCTGAACCCCTGAACCCCTGAACCCCTGAACCCCTGAACCCCTGAACCCCTGAACCCCTGAACCCCTGAACCCCTGAACCCCTGAACCCCCGAAGCCCTAAAGCCCTAAGCCCCTCGAGCCCCGAAGTTTCTGGACAATCCCGAGCGGCCTGCGCAAAGTCTGCAGCTTGCTCTGAACAGTCCGCCGACTGCATGTAGTCTTCGCAGGCGAGAAATGCAGAGGCCGCCTGCGCAGATCTAGGGGCTTGAAGGCCGCTTTTTGGTTTTCGGGCCCAGGTGAGGTTTAGGTTGAGGGATTTGGGTTGAATGTTTTCTTTCTTGTTTTTGGGTGGGTGGGGGGGTATTGGTTGAGGGCTTCGGGATTGTGGGGCCTATTAAAAGGGTCGAGCGATTCGGGGCATGGGGGTTGAAAGGGTTTGGGGAGTCCTAAACTCTTCACCCTAAACCTAAACCCTAAACCCTGTACCCTATAAACCCTAAACCTTCAACCCAAAACTCCAAGCCCTATAAGCCCTAAGTCCTAAACCCTTCACCCGATACACCCTAAGCCCCAACTTTGGGCACAGTTTTGGCATCCAGCCGAACCTGAGCCCAGGGGTTTGGGTTTAGGGATGCCCAGCTTTTGAGGCTTTAGGGTTTAGGGGGAAGACACCAGAGTTCAGGATACTGTTGTAGTGAGAAACCGTAACACCGTACACCCTAAACCTTAAACCCTAACCCCTAAAGCCTAAAGCCTAAACCCTAAACCCTTTACACCCTAACCCTCCTCAAGTAAAACAGCACCGGGGCCACCGTGGGCAGGTTTCCGTGCCTAAACCCTAAACCCCAAACCCCAAACCCTAAACCCTAAACCCTAAACCCCAAACCCGAAGCCCTAAACCGCTTGCAATGGAGAGCGAAGGGCCCAAGACGTCTGGAGGATTGTAGGTTTCGGGCTTCGGGGGATCCTGGAGGACTTGTCGGGTTTAGGGTTTAGGGTTTAGGGTTTAGGGTTTAGGGTTTAGGGTTTAGGGTTTAGGGTTTAGGGTTTAGGGTTTAGGGTTTAGGGTTTAGGGTTTAGGGTTTAGGGTTTGGGGGGGGTTTAGAGGTGTTTGTGGGGGGTTTAGGGGCGCTTAGAGGGTTCAGGGTTTGGGGGGGTTTAGAGGTGGTTCTGGGGGGGTTTAGGGGGGCTTAGGGGGTTTAGGGTTTGGGGGCGGTTTACGGGGGGCTTAGCGGGGTTTAGGGGGTTTTAGGGTGGTTGAGGGGGGTTCGGGGAGATCAAGAGGGTTTAGGGGGGTTTCGGGGGGCTTGGGGGGGTTAAGAGGGGTTTAGGGGGCTTGCCTCGGAACCGCAGCCTGACAGAGCTCTGCCACACCTTTTCTATCACCAAGAACCAAAGCACCCGGTCTTCATTGGTATGTCAGAGGACATACTGCACAACGAAGGAAGGATAGGCTTGCTCTCGGTCGAAGATGACGAACTCCTGGTGAGTTTGGCCGTCGGGGTTGTGGTGACCATTGATTTGCCCGGGATTTACGACGACAGAATCATGGATACCTGCTGCGTCGCTGCGGTTTGGAGGCCGCTTGTTCTTTCTGAGGGTTCCACACGCATAGAACGCGTCGCCAAGGGCCACACGGGCAATGATCAGCGTCCTCTCCTCAATACTCAGCAGGGTTCGTGTTTCTCACTGTTGCCAACTACCATGTTGCATCAAAACATGAGAGGCTTTCCTGCTGGGAAGCCAGCTGGCATACCTCATATGACGTTTCGGGAATATGAGACCGCTAAAGGTCATATAAGGGCTACAAAAAGGGGTATGTTGGGAAACCCACCTAAAAGTAGCCTAGATGATGAAGGCAAAGCTCCTGCTTGCATGAGCACGCTTTGTGGGAATGGGTCGAGCAAGTGTACTGATGGCTCTTGCACGCGGCGCCTGCAAAGTAGACGCCCTCCCCATACATGCCACGATGGCATGTCCGATGATCGAAGCCTTCCATGACGATGGCATTCGCGCTAGAATAGGACGTGCCATGCAACAAGATCTTCTCATCCACATCGCGAGCCAAGGGCGCGCGCAGTCCAAAACATGCTGTTTTGCTGTCATCAGCCCTTCGCCCCAAAGAAAGTTCCCCTCGCCGCCATCGAGATCGAGAGTTGCCCCTGCTATTCATTTTTCGGGGTCAGGGGTTTGAAGCTTACAAGGTTTGCAACGAAATTTGCTGTGCAAACTCGCAGTGCCTACGTCAGCATGTGTGTTTGGCAAAAAACTGGGGGCCCTATGCTAACAAAAAGAAGCCCTGACCGCCTGTCACAGCGATCTTGCACTTTGCATGCTCCTCTCGCATGGTCTTCAGCCTCGCTCGGTAGCGATTCCACAACTGGAAGTTCTCAATTCGATGGACGGACTTGACCCGCGCGCTGCTCATACAGGCACATGGGCTTTTCGCGTCCCATGTATGACCTGTGGTTCGGAGAATGTCACTAAGAGACTCGAGGATCTCCGGATCTGCCACCTCCACGTAGAAGGACGCCAAGGTGTCACTCTGCGTCAAGAGTGCCGACGGGGTACTCTGCCAATCCGCAGGCACTCCGGTGCAAATGCGGATGCTGCGCAGCTTCTTCGTTGCCGCATTCTGCTGGGTCATCCGGTCGAAGTCGACGACACGCAACACGCCGCCGGCCACAATGTTTGCGCTGCGATGCTCTCGCTTGTCAGAAGCATAGGCCACGTAAGCCTCGTTCATCTGGTCGCTCCCTTCCGGCGGGAAGGCAAACCAACTGCCATCATGTTCGTACTGCCAAGACGCGCCCAGGATGGCCGAGTTCTTCCTGGTGTGAGCTTTAGAACTTACGGGTTCTAGTACCTAATTCCCTCATTTCCTCCTGAGAACCAGTGAGAACAATCTCCTCCAACATACCTACAGAAAAGACCTGCCAGAGATCAGCCGAATCTCTGCTTCTGCAACTCGAACAGCTTCTCCTCCGCAGAGACCCGCTTCGCGCGCTCGGCAGTCAACTCAACCTGAAAGGGTGGATTTGCCCGAAACTTTAAACCCTAAGCCTGAAACCCTAAAACAACTTGAACCTTAAGAGGCTTGAGCATCCGAACTGGAAGTGGAATTGATTTAAGGCCAAACTGGCAGCTACAAGAACGAGTTTCTTAAGTTTATAGTCAGTGTTCAGGGCTTGAGGGTGGGTTGGGGCAATCCAGCTGACGATTCCTTGCTGCGGATTGGTGCCTGGCCTGGAGCTTCGCTTTCGCCTCTGCTGAAGACTTAAGGTCGACCTCAGCAATCTCTTCAGCCATTTCCAGTCTCAGCTGAAAGAGGTTTCGCTCTGCTTGAAGCGTCTCGCGCTCACGACGCTCCTTCGACAGTACCTCCTCAGCTGCAGTGAGCTTCTGCTGCAGAAGCAGGTGCTCCTCTTGAAGACTCTTGTGTTGGTCACGCTCCTTCGACAGCGCCTGCTCAGCTGTCTCCAGCTTCTCCTGAACAAGCACGTGCTCCTCTTGAAGAGTTTTGTGTATGTCCAACGCTTCCTCGCGACTCTCCTGAACACGGTCGTGATTCTCTTGGAGGGCCTTGAGGCGGCTTTGCTCATTTGACAAAGCCTCCTCAGTGGCCAGCAGCTTAGTTTCAGCATCGGCAAGGTCTCCAAGCGTCCAGGAGCTTGAGCTTTCGGCCGCATTCCAGTGGGGATCTTGAGAATGCTCCGCGTGATCCCAACTGCCAGTCCAACCCTGTCCGCCCCACTGCAACTTTCTTGGAAGCTCGGTTTCTGGCTCTCGGGAGTCTCGAGAGTCGTCGTGGCTCCTTGTCAAGCGCACACCGCCATTGAACTGCTCATCGGCTGGGTTCTGCAGACGCTCTTGGCATCTGGCGGCGCACCATGGCTTTCGGAAGTCTCGTGAATTGCTGCGAGACCTACCTCTGCGTTGTGGAGGGGCCGCAGGACGATCCTCCAGGTCCACCTCTAGATCGTCTCGAAAGTTTTCCGAATCTCTTGGGCTGCGGAGGCCTTCGAAGTGCTGACGAAAAAACCCAAGAGTCAGCCTCGGTTTGACGAGCCTTGCAAAGAGCGCCTTGGCCGACCCAAGAATCAAACCCTGCCCATCCTGCTGGCGCTTGGCATGCTTGTATCGGACCCATGTCTCATGGACCACCGGACTACCATCCTTCTTCAGCTTCGAAGGATCCAGGCCGGCAGCCGGAGAAGGCACAGGAGTCTCTTCATCATCCATCTAGCCAGCAGGTGTGCCAAGCGCGCTGCTCTGTGCAACGATCTTTGGTTGCTTGAGCCTGCGGTGGGCCGCAATTCCTACAAGCCTTCACGAAGCCATTGAGCATGTGGCATCCAACCTGACACAGCATGGGGAGAAGACAAAACGAGCACACCTGCAGGCAAACAGTGTCTGAGAAGCGTCTAAACCTGCACATCCATCTCCAAAAGTCCAGCAAGCAAGCAAACTCCTGTGAAAAGATAGGTCCGGACATACCACGTCATACCATGCCATGCCATACCATGCCATGACAACCTAAAGCCTAAACCCTGAACTCTAAGCCCTAAACCTAGACAGTAAGACAGTAAGATACCTTTCAAGACCGGTGCCATCTTAAAAAAATCCTAAATACTTGCCCTAATGCAACTGTGTGCGGTCTCGGCTTCCCGAAAAGCCCGAATCAAGGCCCAATAGACCCTGAAGGCCCTCAAGGTACCCTGAACCCTAACCAACAAGGGACCCTCTATCCATTATACTCGCTTAAGAACCCCAGAAAATGGAAAAAACACATAGGGGCAATATCGGGATTGTTATCCTTTTCTTTTCTTTTCCTTTTATTGGCAAGGGGGGGGGTTAGGGTTTAGGGTTTAGGGTTTAGGGTTTAGGGTTTAGGGTTTAGGGTTTAGGGTTTAGGGTTTAGGGTTTAGGGTTTAGGGTTTAGGGTTTAGGGTTTAGGGTTTAGGGTTTAGGGCTTAGGGCTTAGGGCTTAGGGTTCTTGAGCAAATAGTAGTGCAAGCCCTGCAAGCCCTCGCCACCTCACGAAGTCGCTGGCGCTGCAGGGAGCGGTCGCCGGTGGCATTGGCCGCTGCCCGCAGCAAGCCCCCACTCCTGCGTTTTAGGGTTTAGGAACTTGGATTCAGGGTTTGGGGTTTAGGGTTCAGAGTTTAGGGTTTAGGGTTCAGAGTTCAGGGTTACTCCTACGGTTCTTTTGGGTCGGTTGAGGGTTTGCGGTTTGGGGTTTGGGGTGTTAGGGCAGCTTACGCTTTTGGATTTTTGAGGGTTGTAGGCTTTGAGTGTTAAGGGCTTGAGGGTTTAGGGTTTAGGGTTTAGGGTTTAGGGTTTAGGGTTTAGGGTTTAGGGTTTAGGGTTTAGGGTTTAGGGTTTCATGAGGTTGTATAGGGCTTTGTAAGGTCGATGGGCCGCTAGGCTTCATGCGCAGAAGGTGCTTAGGGTTTAGGGTTTAGGGTTTAGGGTTTGGGGTTTGGGGTTTGGGGTTTGGGGTTTGGGGTTTGGGGTTTGGGGTTTGGGGTTTGGGGTTTGGGGTTTGGGGTTTGGGGCTTGGGGCTTGGGGTTTGGGATTTCGGGTTTAGGTGGCAGCTGATGTGCCGGCACAGTGAAGCCACCCAACAGCCAAACATCGCTCGGACATGGGGGACGAGCACCCCCGAATTCAGAAGTGGTTTAGGATTTAGGGTTAGGGTTTAGGGCTTCGGGTTTAGGATTTATGGTGTCGGGGTGGTACATCTCAAGTAACTGCTGTGGCAAGTGGCGACTGGTGACGCTGAATGGCTTGCCACGCCCGCGCCACCTCCACATCAGCAATGATTCGATATGTAGGGTTTAGGGCTTAGGGTTTAGGGCTTAGGGTTTAGGGTTTAGGGTTTGGGGTTTGGGGTTTAGAGCTTAGGGCTTAGGGCTTAGGGTTTAGGGTTTAGGTGCTTGCCAAACGGAAAACCCAAAGCACATCTCGGTTGCTCAAAGCATGCTCGTTTGACAGCGGCTCAAGTTGGTCTAGCTTGAGATGGTGAACGGCAAGGCTCCGCCCTGCTGGTCTACTAGGGTTTAGGGTTTAGGGTTTAGGGTTTAGGGTCCAGGGTTTAGGGTTTAGTGCCCTGCGACTTGTTCGCCAATCCTCTTTTGCACATTCTGCTGCACAAGCCCTCCAACCTCATGCAGAAGACGATCGAGCAGGACAACCCTAAACCCTAAACCCTAAACCCTAAACCCTAAACCCTAAAACCCTAAACCCTAAACCCTAAACAGCAAAGGGCCACCTACAACCTGGCACTCCAAGGAGCTTGGACCTCACGTTGGGATTTGGGTCACAATATTGGGGTTTTTTGGGTTTAAGGTTTAGAGTTTAGGGTTTAGGGTTCAGGGTTTAGGGTTTAGGGGGCTTTGAAGGAAACCCCAAACAGGGAAGCCCGCGAAAATAGTAGGAGCATAGTAGGAACATAGCAGGAACATCGTAGGAGCATACTAGGAATATCCCTATGCAAACTTTCTGGTGTGCGGGGTTGGCTCCCCTAAACCCTTAAGCTTAAACCCTAAACCCCAAACCCTCTCCATGCCATCATCTCCCAAGAGCCTCACGGAAAAACCGGAAACCCAACTGAACCCTAAGCCCTCAGTCTTAAGCCCCAAACTTCCTAAGCCCTAAACTTCCTAAGCCCTAAGCCCTAAGCCCTAAACCCTAAACTACTAAACCCTGAACCCTACGCCCTAACCCCAAAAAAAAGTTTAAATCTGATGAGCCCTTAGCCCTGGCTTGAAGAGGCCTCCTCCATGTTGTCGCTACCAGCTGTAAGGACGGCCGTCGTGATGGCCGCGAATCTCTTATTCCTTGGGATTCCGAACTAAACCCCTGTTTAGGGTTTAGGTGTTAGGGTTTAGGTTGGGATGTTCCCCCTGATACTAACAGACCTTAGGGGGTATTCCTCTGGATACGAACAGCTCGGAGTTCTGGGGTCTCAGGTTAATTGTAGGGATTTTGGGATAGGGGTGGATTGAAGTTTGGGCAACTTAGGGATTGAAGGGTTTACGCCCAAGGGCTCCGGCTCGCTCTGGAGACGCCTAAACCCTAAACCCTAAACCCCAAACCCTAAACCCGAAACCCTAAACCCTAGCACCATGCGAATGACTCCAGGCAACCAAGCCCCCCTCCACCTTTGGCGAACCTCAGATCCTTAGCCTCCAATCCAAGGCCCCCCCGACGGGTTTAAAGTTTAGGGTTTTGGGTCTAGAGTTAAGGGCTTAAAGTTCAGCCTAAGTTCAGCAACAAAAATGATCCAACTCATTCATGTCAAAGCTAGGCCCCAGGTGCTTTGCTGGGCTCGGACGGTGCACGAACTCCTCATCATCAGCGCTTTCTTCAACCCGATCGGGCTCCTCCTCTTCAAAACAACGCCGGGGCGATCAATTCTTCCCACGGTTTTGGGGTCTGTAGGTTTAAGCTTCTGCCCTCTTGAACCCAGGGTCCGGTTTCACTGTTTGCAAGCATCAGAGCGACTGCCGATCTCCGCAGGCCTGCAGTAGCCGGCAGAGCGCTCGATGTCCGCTCCACCTCGGATGACCCTCAAAACCCTCGGAAAAAAAAAAAACGCTCCAAAATGTGATCCTCTTAAACCCAATAAGAGAAAAATGTATGAAATATGGAGGTTTAAAGAAAATAGGGGACCCCTAATATAGGCACCACATAGTAGGCATCCCTTCTAAGGCGACCCCAAGAAGGGAAACCCCCATGTCCCAAATGCCTACCTGGCCACTGCTTCGTCTGCTCCAGGTACTCCAGCGCCTTCTCTGCATCAAGCTGCTGCGCCTCCGGGAAAGACATCGAAGATGGGCACAGTCCGGACTACGGTAGGTACCCTCAGCCCTAAACCCCCAAAGGAATCGATAGAATCCAGGGTTTCATTACGGGGGTTTAGGGGTTTCAAGTTGAGGGGTTAGGACCGCTTCGGGGTTGCTGCTGGCACACGGGCAGACACCGCGCTTTCCAGAAGCTTCGCCGTTGCGACTTAGTGTTAAACCGTGCACTTCATCGCTTAGAGTCTATAGTATCCGCTGAAACCCTGAAACCCCCCCCCCCCCCCCCCCCCCCCCCCAACCCTAAACCCTAAACCCTAATCCCTAAGCCCTAAACCCCAATTAAACCCTAAACTCTAAACCCTAAACCCTAAACCCCCCTTTTCCCTGCAACCCTCGGAAGGCCTGGGAAGGATTCGCCTGCAAGTCGCGGAGCAGCTGCTGCCGATCTGGAGGCGTGGAGAACTGCGTGTCCCTCCAACCGTGGCGCCGGAGGACGGCCTTCACCTTGCTGGTCCGGTAGCCACATGTCTATGTTTAGGGTTTAGGGTTTAGGGTTTAGGGTTTAGGGTTTAGGGTTTAGGGTTTAAGGTTTAGGGTTTAGGGTTTAGGGTTTAGGGTTTGGGGTTTGGGGTTTGGGGTTTAGGGTTTAGGGTTTAGGGTTTGGGGTTTAGGGTTTAGGGTTTAGGGTTTAGGGTTTAGGGTTTGGGGTTTGGGGTTTAGGGTTTAGGGTTCAGGGTTTAGGGTTTAGGGTTTGGGGTTTGGGGTTTGGGGTTTGGGGTTTGGGGTTTGGGGTTTAGGGTTTAGGGTTTAGGGCTTGGGGTGGTTACTTTCTTAAGGAACCTTGAACCAACCAAAACGGGGGGCAAAAGGGCACCACCGGGCTACCAAGTAGCCGAAGCGTCCATGTCATTCGCAAGAGGCTGGATGTCCTCGAAGGTGAGCTTGGAGGGTCGGGGAACTTAGTAAGTAGATAGTAAGTAGACTTACAAGTACTCTACAGGGACCCGAATTGGAGTTATCCTACTTATAACTCCATTTGAGAACTACTTACTAAGTCCTCCGACCCTCCAAGAGGGCTTCGACAGTTTTTGGGCGTAGGCCCAAGATTCGCCGCAGTGCCATGACCCTTTGACCGCCCTAGACCCTGAACCCTAATCCCTAAACCCTAAACCTGAAACCTGAAGCCCTAAGCCCTAGCCCGAAACCCTAAACCCTAAACCCTAAACCCTAAACCCTAAACCCTACACCCTGAGGGCGGGCCTCTGCCAGAGCACTGGTCCACGCGGAGTCGAGGCCATCACTGCGAAGAGCTTGCTCCAGGGCTTCGATGATCTCGGTGGTGCTGGACGTGGGAACCTGCCAATTCGGGTTTAGGGTTTAGGGTTTAGGGTTTGGGGTTTGGGGTTTGGGGTTTGGGGTTTGGGGTTTGGGGTTTGGGGTTTGGGGTTTGGGGTTTGGGGTTTGGGGTTTGGGGTTTGGGGTTTGGGGTTTGGGGTTTGGGGTCTAGGTTTAGGTTTTGGTTTTGGGTTCAGGTTAGTTTAGGTACTAAAACCCTTAAACCCTTGAACCCGAAAAAGCCCTAGACCCCTGAAGCCCTAAAGCCTTACAGGGTTGAGGGTTTAGGGGTGTTGCAGCTGGGATGTAGCGTTTGCATGCATGCGGAGGATGTCAGTGTCAAGGCTGATGCAAGTCACATTTAGTTCTGAAAGGGCTTTGTGACGAAAGCCAACTGAACCCTAAACCCTAAACCCTAAACCCCAAACCCTAAACCCTAAGCCCTAAAAGCCCGAAATCCCTACAGTCTTAAGGGTTTGGGGGTGTTGCGGCTTCGGGTTTGAGGGTCTGCTGGGGACCTGAGGTTCAGGGAGGATTGACAAGGGTTTAGGGTTTAGGGTTTAGGGTTTGGGGTTTGGGGTTTGGGGTTTGGGGTTTGGGGTTTGGGGTTTGGGGTTTGGGGTTTGGGGTTTGGGGTTTGGGGTTTGGGGTTTGGGGTTTGGGGAAGATTTCCGGCTTCCGGCGTTCCAGTTTGGGGCGCTCTGCTGATGGCTGAAAAAGACTTCGGGGGTTTAAGGTTTAGGGTTAGGGTTGGGACCCTCTTCAATGTCTTCCCTCCCTTGATCAGCTGGAAAGGCCATGTGAACCCTCGTCAGAACTCCAAAAGCCCTCTTTCTCCTTTACAGGCTTCAAACTCTAGATCCATTAGGGTTTAAGGTTTGGGGTTTCGGGTGTAGGGTTTAGGGTTTAGGGTGTAGGGTTTAGGATTTAGCCCTGAAGCCCTACAATGGCACGCCTTCTTTTGGAGCAACCGCCTCTCCCTTGAAACCCCATACTTCCCCAATTCCTAGACCCTATATCCATAAAAACCCTAAACCCTAAACCCTAAACCCTGAACCTCAAAGGTCCTAAGTTTTGAAACGCCAAGGCAGGCCACCTTCATGGCCACGACGACACACAGGGACGCCGACACGAGGTCATCCAGGCTGTGCATGAAGGAGTCTGCAGCGTGAAGCCAAAGCCTGCAAGGCATGGATCAGGGTTGAGGGTTTAGGGTTTAGGGTTTAGAGTTTAGGGTTTAGGGTTTAGGATTTAGGGTGAGGCAAGGCTCAACCCTAAAGTATAAGGACCCTTAATCTTATTCCGCTAAAACGACCCCCTACATAGCCCCTACAAACCCCTACGCCCCAAAACCCCAACACCCCAAAACCCTAGCCCCCAAGAGAACCGAATGCCCACACCCAAATGCTGGACCTCCTTTGACCTTTAATCTGTGCATCCGACCCTGAGAAGCTTCTGGCGCACTCCGTTAGAACCCCTAAACGTTTCACCCGCGGGGCTTCCCGGGCTCCAGGGGGTTTAGGGTTTAGGGTTTAGGGTTTAGGGCTTAGGGCTGAGGGCTTAGGGCTTAGGGCTTAGGGCTTAGGGCTTAGGGCTTAGGGCTTCGGGCTTAGGGTTTAGGGCTTGCGGTTCCCGTTTGCTAGGATTTTAGGGTTTAGGAAAAGAGTTCAGGAAGGGTGGGTCTAAATAGTCAAAAAACATCTTGCATAGGTGGCGTCTTGCAAGAGGTGGTGGGCATGGCTTTCATTCCCCGTGCATTCCCTCACTGCTTTTCCTGGCTTCGGTTTAGAGTTCAGGGTTCAGGGTTCAGCGTTCAGCGTTCAGGGTTTAGGGTTTAGGGTTTGGGGTTTGGGGTTTGGGGTTTGGGGTTTGGGGTTTGGGGTTTGGGGTTTGGGGTTTGGGGTTTGGGGTTTGGGGTTTAAACACGTCGTCAGTCAGCACTGGCCTTCCTGCACCGAAGCCGCTAGCAGGGTGTAGGGTTTAAGGTGCTAACGCAGCCAGAACCCCAGAAGCATCTGATTGTTGCCACGGAGCCCTCCGTCCACATAGCAGTGCGCAGCCTCCTGTCAGCGCTTGGAGCAAGAGATAAAAGAGACACCCCCCTAAACCCTAAACCCTCAACCCGAATCCCTAAACCTAGAAGGAAGCCTTCATCCCACACACAAAAGAACCCCTACATATCAGATAGCCCGTAAAAAAAAGGGTGGTTGGCAAAATGATTTGGATCCCTACTACAATATGGCACCTAATATTTGGGGGTACCCCAAAAGGGTCATAATTTTGACAGCCAGCCATATATGCCTAAGCAGCCGCAGGAACAGCCGCAGGGGTTCCCAAACCCTCGACCCCAGATAACCCACCTAAGATCCCTGACACAGGTCTGGTACGCAGGGCTCAGCGTTTTTGGGGGCTTAGGGCAGCTAGGTTTAGGGTTGAGGGTTTATAGGGTTTAAGGAAAAATAGGCCCTCTATAACCCCCTAAACCCTAAACCCTAAACCCTAAACCCTAAACCCTAAACCCTAAACCCTAAGCACCCCCTGGGGTCCGCGTTCTTCCCCACTTTCTGGAAGAGCTTCGCGGCTTCGAAGAAGTCTCCTCCAGAGCAGCGCCATACGGGAGGGGGGGTTTAGGGTTTAGGGTTTAGGGTCTAGTCTAGGGTTTAGGGTTTTAGGGTTTAGGGTTTAGGGTCTAGGGTTTAGGGCTTTGGGGGGGTTGGGGTGGGCGGGGGTTTGGGGGTCCTAAACCTAAACCCGAAACCCTTAACCGAGTGGCACAAGAACAGGACAATCTTGCCTTTGAACCCTAAACCCTGAACCCTAAACTAATTATCTTCATTCTTCCTCTGGATTGCTCCCCTGGGCTGGGTGGGTGCAGCCTTGATGGCCAACAGCTTGGAGTTCGTATCTCTCTACTACCTCCCCTCTCTCACTCACACACGTCACCGTACGTACATACACATATACATATAGATACAGAGACAGAGAGAGGGAGAGAGAGAGAGAGAGAAAACAAAACAAACCAAACAAAAACCGGCGAATATACAAGATAATATACATGTACAATATTACATTATATAGATATAGATATAGATATAGATGTAGATGTAGATATAGATATATATATATATAGAGATATAGATATAGACATATGTGCAAAACACTTGTACTGAAACCTTGTTTGGCCTCATACATGCGTATATGCAGCATGCCACAAGCCACTACTGCCATGCACCCCTAAATTATCCAATCATAACTGTACGTCTTAACTGTACTTATAACCATATTAGGGCACTTCAGGGGCTCTTAAGTGGGTGAAAAGCACAGTTGTAATTGGGTAATAAGCACATGAGCCCCCAAGTACACCCTAAACCGCAAACCCTAGACCTAAACGTTAGTTCTTCAATGCGTTGCCTGCGTGACGGAAGCAGCCAGCAGCCTCTTTCCAAGCCTCGACGTCTTTGAACCTTACAGGCTGTAGGTGGTATGGGGCTCAGGGTTCAGGGTTCAGGGTTTAGGGTTCGAGGATTCCGATTGATACCCTAAACCCTAAACCCTAAACCCTAAACCCTAAACCCTAAACCCTAAACCCTAAACCCTAAACGCTAATGTAGTGGCGCATTGGGATCCACCGGGCATTCGGGGTACGAGGATCAGACTGGGCAGATCAAAGGCTTCTGCTTTAGGGTTTGGGGTGCTTGAGGTTGAGGGTCCAAGTTTTGGGTTTTGTAGTTTGAGGCTTAAGGTTTAGGGTTTAGGGTTTAGGGTTTAGGGTTTAGGGTTAGGGGTTTAGGGTTTAGGGTTTAGGGTTTAGGGTTTAGGGTTTAGGGTTTAGGGTTTAGGGTTTAGGGTTTAGGGTTTAGGGTTTAGGGTTTAGGGCTTCCAGGGTTTGGGAATTCGCTTTGGAGTTGTGAGGCTTAAGGCACTTGCTGCTGTGATTGCTCCACCAATTGCTACCATCGGTTTAGGGTTTAGGGTCTAGGGCTTCCGGTTTGGCACAGTTTGGGTAGCCCACCAGTATCCCACCTACCGCCTGGTCACACAATGGGTTTCTTCCTTGAAAATACAAAAGTACAAAACCCCAAACCCGAAATCTTACAAAACCACCAGCAACTTCTTCAACAGCCCAACAACAACAAAAACACAAACTTGAACCCCCATGAACGAAACTTTGCACTCCCAGTGTCCAGAAACCCTAAACCCTGAAAAATAAACCCCAAACCCCAAACCCTAAACCCTGAACCCTAAACCCTAAACCCTAAACCCTAGAATCTAGGAATTCCTAGACTTTAGGCCCGGGCGTTCAAGAGTTTAGTTTTCAGAGTTCGGGGCCCAAGTTCGGAGCCTCCGCCAAAAGAAAAGAAAACCCGACAATCCCGAAGAACCCCCTAAACCCTAAACCCTAAACCCTAAACCCTAAACCCTAAACCCTAAACCCTAAACCCTAAACCCTACACCCTAAACCCTAAACCCTAAACCTTAAACCCTAAACAGTCACGAAGCCGGCGACCAGCGACTCGCCAGAGCTGCGCTTTCCTAGGCTTTTTGGCGGAAAACCCATGTCTGGTGGGTCCAGGGTTCTAGATCCCCCCATATAAGACCCAGAAGGGCGGGATCCTAACATTAGAAATATGGCTTTGGCCACCATCAACCAAACCCCAAACCCTGCACCCTAAACCCCGAAACTCCGGAACCTGAAGCCCGAAACGCCCAAACCCTCAGCTCAGCACCCCCCACCCTAAAACCCTAACCCATTTAAAACCCTAAACTTTGCCCTAAACCCTAAACCCTAAACCCTAAACCCTAAACCCTAAACCCTAAACCCTAAACCCTAAACCTCTCTTTCATGTATAATTTAAATGTTAAGGAGTTACTGGGCAAGGTCATTTTTTTACTGGGCAAGGTCATTTGTTTATTGGGCAAGGTCCTTTTTTTTACTGGGCAAGGTCATTTTTTGACTGAGCAAGGTCGTTTCGTCCAACAAAAACGACCTTGCCCAGTAAAAAATGACCTTGCCCAGTAAAAATGTTACTGGGCAGGGTCATCGTTAGCTAGCGGCACTGGATCAAGTCTACGGCATGGCCTTCTAAGACTGCCCTTGCCCTTACCACACCTTACCACACCAAACGGGTCATCGTTTTACGGGGCAAGGTCATCTTTTTTACTGGGCAAGTTGTTTTTTTACTGGGCAAGGTCATTTTTTGACTGGGCAAGGTCATTACTGGGCAAGGTCATTTATTTATTGGGCAAGGTTGCTTTTTTTACTGGGCAAGGTCATTTTTGTACTGGGCAAGGTAATTTTTTTCTGGGCAAGTTCATTTTTTACTGGGCAAGGTCATTTTTTTACTGGGCAAGGTCATTTTTTTACTGGGCAAGGTCATTTTTTGCTGGGCAAGGTCATTTCTTTTACTGGGTAAGGTCATTTTTTTACTGGGCAAGGTCATTTTTTTACTGGGCAAGGTCGTTCCATAAGTGAAATATTTTCTTAATGTTGTGGGATTCTTTGGGCGGGTGGGTATTTTTTCTGGCGTAATTTCTTGACTGGTGAATGCTTGGACTTGAGATGCTGAACCCTAAACCCTAAACCCTAAACCCTAAACCCTAAACCCTAAACCCTAAACCCTAAACCTACTCCGGGTCCTAGTATGAAGCGTCCAAGATTCTGGGCGTCTGGTCCCTGGAAGGCCTCGGCCTCCTCAAAGGCCAGGTGTGCCTGTTGCAGGGAGTTTAGGGTTTAGGGTTTAGGGTTTAGGGTTTAGGGTTTAGGGTTTAGGGTTTAGGGTTTAGGGTTTAGGGTTTAGGGTTTAGGGTTTAGGGTTCAGGGTTTAGGGTTTAGGGTTTAGGGTTTAGGGGGGCTTCAGGCGCATAGGGATGTCTAGGAGCTTTCGGAACGAGGAGAAAGAACAAGAGAGCATGAGGCCGGTTTCGGAGCATTTGCAATTACTAACTGCTCTCAGAAATGTTGTACAAATCCGTGTAAAGCCGAAACCCTAAATCCTAAACCCTAAACCCCCAAAGCCTAATTACAAAGCACCAAAGCCCTAAACCCCGAGCCTGGCACTTCCTGACGCCGTCGTCGTTGCCGGCCCGTTGATAACACATCCTGAACTGACCCCAGCAGTCGCCACGATAAGCGCGAATCGTAAACCCTGAGCCCTAAGCCCGAAGCCCTAAGAGCCCTAAGGCCTAAGCCCTATAATCCTAAGCCCTAAGCCCTAAGCCCTAAGCCCGAAACCCTAAGCCCTAAGACCTAAACCCTAAACTCAACCTTCTGTAGATACCGAAGGACTTGAAGGCCTCAGGCCCTCTTGGGAGGAGTCCCTTCCTGCGAGGTCCTACTTTACATTACCCCCCCCCCCCCCCCCAATGCGAAAGCTAGATCCCAAGCTTTGGGGTCTTAGGGTTGGGGGGTTTAGGGGGCTTACGCTTTGGGGTTTACAGGGATTAGGGTTTAGGCTGTTTAGGGTTTGGGGCTGAGAGGGCTTCAGGGTTGTTTTTGAGGCCATTAGGGTCTAGGCTTGAGGGCTTTTAGGCTGCTTCACATGGTAGCCCTGAGAGTTTAGTGCTTAGGGTTTGGGGCTTAAGGTTTGGGCTCAGGGTTCAGGGCTTAGGGTTTAGGGTTTTGAGGGTTGAGGGTTGAGGGTTGAGGGTTGAGGGTTTAGAATTTAGGGTTCATCTCGGGCTGACCGGCCCGGCGTCAGCGCTTGCTCAAATTGCTGCATGTTCACCAGCCCGGCGGCAGTCCTGCATGAAAGGCATTCGCACACAATGCCCCTAAGCTTGCCTAAGGCAGACAGACTACACCCCAAGCCCTTCAGGGTTTAGGGTTTGTTAGAGTTCAGGGTTCAGGGTTTAGGGTTTAAACCCTACACCCGAAACTCTAAGGCCCTTAAGACTAAAGCTCAATCCTAAGCCCTGCACCCTGAAGCCCTAAAGCCAAACCCTAAACACTGGACGACACTATACCTTCCCTCAAGGTGACGCCAGGCTGTGCCATCAGGATGAATGAACTGTCTTAAAAAAGGAATGTCGCGGGAACACTGACACAATGTAGGGTTCATGGCTTATGGAATTTAAGCAGGAAGGTACTGAGAATACCTTTGTACCAGAGCCCGCTAAACCCTAAACCCTTAACCCTAAACCCTTAAACTCTCAACCCTAAGCCCTAAACCCTAAACCCTTCAACCCTAAACCCTTGAACCCTAAGCCCTAAACCCTAAAACCTTAAACCCCAACCTTGTATCCCTTACCCGCCTGCTCCAGGCTTCTCCGCTCTGCTGCTCGCGGGAGCGATCTGCAACGTCCACCAACCTTGCGCGAAGACAGGTTTCGGGTTTAGGGTTTAGGGCTCAGGGTTTAAGAGGTTTAGGGTTTGGGCTTCGAGTTTAGGGTTTAGGGCAAGGGGCTTGGGCTTTGGGATTTAGCGATCGGGTTTAGTGTATAGGGCCCTATCCACCCCACAAACACGGACTGACACGTTTTTCTACCCACCCCTTCCCAAACCCTAAGCCTAAACTCCAAACCCAAAACGCTTAGCCCTTAAGCCTACAAAAGCCCAAATCCCAAATCCCAACCGTGCCCCGGGAATACGCGGCCAAGCAGCGTCTCGTCCGTCAGCTTCTGGCCCACAGAGTCCCTGAAAAAGCCGGGCTGCTTGTCAGAGCGTCTCTAGGGCTCAAAATTGGGATGTTCACCCTTATACTAAGAGGTCCTTAATAGGTGAGGGGGTTACCATAATCCCTATGAAGGACTGGGGGGAACCATCGCAAGCTCAGAAATTCATTCTTAAGGTATAGGGTTTAGGGTTTAGGGTTTGGGTTTTAGGGTTTAGGGTTTAGGGTTTAGGGTTTAGGGTTTAGGGTTTAGGGTTTAGGGTTGAGGGTTTAGGGCTTAGGGTTTAGGGTTTAGGGTTTAGGGTTTAGGGTTTAGGGCCTTTAGGGTTTAGGGCCTTTAGGGTTTAGGGCCTTTAGGGTTTAGGGCCTTTAGGGTTTAGGGCCTTTAGGGTTTAGGGCCTTTAGGGTTTAGGGCCTTTAGGGTTTAGGGCCTTTAGGGTTTAGGGCCTTTAGGGTTTAGGGTGTAGGGTGTAGGGTGTAGGGTTTAGGGTTTAGGGTTTAGGGTTTAGGGTTTAGGGTTTAGGGTTTAGGGTTTAGGGTTTAGGGTTTAGGGTTTAGGGTTTAGGGTTTAGGGGATCCGTTTTTCCTGGGATTTTGGGAGCATGACTGTGGTCCCTCTGAGTGTTGGAAACTCCCACAGTCTGCAGGCAACGTACTTGAGTCCGAAAACCCCTAACGCCCAAAAACCTTCGAAATCGTAAATGCTCTGAAGGCTAAGCCCTCAAGCCCTAAACAGTATCAACTCCTGAACCCTAGACCTTAACCCTCAAAGGTTTCGGGTTGAGGGTGGCTAGATCCAGGGTACTTACCCTTTTTGGTTTCAAGGGGCTTCTGAGGGAACCTATATAAACCCTACAAAACAGGAAATAAGGGCTTGCGCTGGGTCCTAGGTGATGAGGGTTTAAGGTGTCAACTTCTGTTTTTTGACCCTCAAGGGTTTATAAGGCTCACGTGCCGAGCTGCCCGAAAATCTGGTGGATCACCTGGATTTCATCAAGGGCAGGGAGATCTGATTGAGTAGTAGCCCTTCACCCTAAGCCCTAAAGCCTAAACCCCCAAACCTACCTCAAACCCTCCTGCTCCGACTAGCCCTGGACACGATTATCCTATGAGTCATAGGGCTTAGGTCTAGGAGGATGCGGTTCCTCGAGTGGCCTAGATGACCTAGAAAAGGGTTTTAGGGTTTCGGGTTCAGGGTTAGGGTTTAGGGTTTAGGGTTTAGGGCTTAGGGCTTAGGGCTTAGGGCTTAGGGCTTAGGGCTTAGGGCTTAGGGCTTAGGGCTTAGGGCTTAGGGCTTAGGGCTTAGGGCTTAGAGCTTAGGGCTTAGGGCTTAGGGCTTAGGGCTTAGGGTTCAGGGTTTAGGCTTTAGGGTTTAGGGTTCAGGGTTTAGAGAAACAGGTGAAATTACAGGGTGTAGTTGCACCTTTCGAGGTCAACGGTTGCTCTAGAAGGGCTTGGGTTAAGGCTTAGGCGTCTTGCCTATCCAGTTCCGTGGGCAGCTGCCACCCCAACGAGGCTGATCCTCTAACCTAAACCACCACCCCAAAGCAAGTTGAACGCTACTCGCCTGCTCCATCACTCACGAAGTTTGGGGTTTGGCAATGCTGCTTCCGAATTAGGTTCCCATAATGGGATCTAGGGCTCAGGTTTAGGGTTTAGGGTTTAGGGTTTCAGGTTTAAGGTTTAGGGTTTAGGGTTTAGGGGAGGCTTAGGGTTTGGGCTTGAGGGTTCTGCCTCAAACTTAGGCACCTGACGATAACCTGCTGTTGGCTTCTAAGCTAGAGGCTCAGGTTCTGAGTCGCAAGACACAAATTAGGCACCCTATGTCATGGCGGCTGGCCTCCTCATTCCCGCTGTCCTGTTGCCAGAAACGGAGCTTCGGGTTTGGGTTCAGTTACCCCCCTAAACCCTAAACCCTAATAAACCCTAAACCCTTAAACCCAAAAACCCAAAAACCCAAAAACCCTAAACCCTAAACCCAAAACCCAAAAACCCAAAACCCTAAACCCTAAACCCTAAACCCGGAAGCCTAGACCCTAGACGCGAAACCCTAAACGCCTCAGTTTCGGCATGACTCTGCAGAGACAGAGCAGCATCCCTTAGCCCGCGTACCCCAACACTTGAAGCCCTAGACCCCGACACTCTAGTATAGGGGCCTTAGTCATAAGAAGGGGGTTTTGGAGGGGTTCTTATAAACCCTAAACCCTAAACCCAAAACCCAAAACCCAAAACCCTAAACCCTAAACCCTAAACCCTAAACCCTAAACCCTAAACCCTAAACCCTAACCCAGGCCTCGCAGATGACAAGCCGCCTCTTCGCCCTTGTCACCGCAACATACAACCTGCGGAGAGGAAGGCTTCTAGGGCTTCGAGGTTGAACTTTAGGGTTTAGGGTTTAGGGTTTAGGGTTTAGGGTTTAGGGTTTAGGGTTTAGGGTTTAGGGTTTAGGGTTTAGGGTTTAGGGTTTAGGGTTTAGGGTTTAGGGTTTAGGGCTTCGGGTTTGTTTTGATTCGGGTTCGGAGTTTGGGGTTTAGGGTTTGGGGTTCAAGGGGCTGATTTTGGGGTTTAGGGTCTCATGTTGCGGCGTCTTTTTGGTAGGAATGTCAACCGCAAACCCTAAACAGCACACCTCTTGAGCTCCATGCACGCCACCGCGTCGTTTGCGCCAGCACCTTCCTTTAAGAGGTTGCGGTGCTGCTTCATCAGCTGCGGCCAAGTTTGGCAGGGCGAGTCCTTGGGCTCGCGGCTTGGGGCTTAACTAGGGTTTAGGATTTAGGGTTTAGGATTTAGGGTTTAGGATTTAGGGTTTAGGATTTAGGGTTTAGGATTTAGGGTTTAGGGGCTTTCAGAAATGTAGCCTTCGTGGCCCGTGTAAATATGGACGACGTTTTTGAGCAGGGATGTCCCCAAACCGGTCTAGTCTAATGAGTCTAGGGATAGTCTGAGCCATAAACCCTAAACCTAAACCATTAACCCTAAACCCGATCTTGAGTCCCTACAGCTAGCTTTCCTCGACCAGCCCAACTCCAGAGAGTCCCCTACGCAGGAAGCTGAAGTCGGAGGCTGAAGCAGTCCCTACACCTCGATCTTCAGAAGCCAAGCATGGTGAAACCACACAATTAGACCAGACCTCACGCAGTCCCAGGGTACCCTTTTTGGTGGCTTGGGGGAGTGTGCACCTGTGCCCACGGCAAAGAATGCAGACGGAGCTGCATACCGGGTTTAGGGCTTAGGGTTTAGGGTGTCAGTTTGTGTTACGATCGCCAGTTCACCAGCAGAAGGTATTCGGCAGCACCCTCTTGACCATATTTGAGCCATTGAAGACATTCCGCCCTTCACATCTGAGCATGGCATTCAGACGGGCACAATTGGACAACCTGGACCTGAAAAGGGCGCCAAGGAAACAAGCAAATGAAACCTGACTCTTAAGCGCACGCTCCATGACCCAAAGAACCCAAGGAACCCAAAGAACCCAAGGAAACCAAAAACCTTCCTGACATGTGGCTTGGGGCTGCCCAAGCCAAGCGTCTGTGATGAAGTTGAACAGGAGCACGTCTGTGAACTCCAGACCTTTCGAGCTGTTGAGGGCTTCAGGGCCAATTTAAACCCTAAACCCTTAAGCCCTAAGGGTGTAGGGACTGCTTCAGCCTCCGACTTCAGCTTCCTGCGTAGGGGACTCTCTGGAGTTGGGCTGGTCGAGGAAAGCTAGCTGTAGGGACTCAAGATCGGGTTTAGGGTTAATGGTTTAGGGTTTAGGGTTTAGGGTTTAGGGTTTAGGGTTTAGGGTTTAGGGTAGTTTAAGGTTCCGGGTTTAGGGTTTAGGGTTTAGCGTTTCGGGTTTAGGGTTTAGGGCTGAGTGTACCAACAGCCGAGGTACCTTTCGCCGCGATCTCGTCCATCATGTTGCCCAGCTTCTCGGCCGTCATGACGATGCCCGGGTATCGGGCCGCATGCTCGGTGGCCACCTCTCCGAGGCGTAGCAGCTACATGGGGGTTTAGGGTTTAGGGCTTCGGGTTTGGGGTTTAGGGTTTAGGGTTTAGTGTTTAGGGTTTAGGGTTTAGGGTTAGGGTTTAGGGTTAGGGAACTCATAAGATACATCCCCAAAGAGTAGGGATTCCCCTTGTAATGAGGACTCCAATAAAGTACCCCTCATTTCGGAAGCCCCTACACTGCCACCAGCCAGTCAGGAAGATGCTCCCCTGATTTCCTAAATACATCCAGAGAACTCTAAACACTCTAACCCTAAACCCTAAACCCTAAACCCGAAATCCTTAACCCCATCCTTAAGTCGATAAACCCCAAGAGAGCCAGAATAGACTCTCAGAACATGGGCCGTTGTACTTGTACCCCAAGAGCGACTCGGGACCCCAAAGTTGAGGGTTTTGGGGGCGTTTAAGGCTTAATTAAAGTTCGGATGGCTACAACCCTAAACCCTAAACCCTAAATCCTAAACCCTAAACCCTAAACCCTAAACCCTAAACTCGGAAAAGTGTGTGGAAGGCTTGGGCGAAAGTTTGAGGGCCGAAGCAGGGTTGTGAGTATTTATGGGTGGGCGGTTAGATGGGTTGCTCTCCCTCTGCGGGCACGCGCCCGTTTAACAAGTCTAGAGCTAAGGCCCTAAACCCCTGAACAGAACCCTAAACCCTAAACCTTAACTACTAAACCCTAAACCCTAAACCCTAAACCCTAAACCCTAAGCCCTAAACTCTCAACCCCTAAACCCTATACCGGCCTGAAGGAACTGTTCCTTGCAGCGCTCGTTTCGAACGATCACCTTGCACACGGGCACCCGCGCACGATTTAAGGAGTCCACACTCCAATTGCGCAGAGCCGGAGTTTTTGTAGGATAACACTGGTGAAACCCTAAACCGCAAACCCTAGACCCTAAACCCTAGACCCAAAACCCTAAACCCTGAACCCTAAACCCTAAACCCTCAGCTCCTAAACCAAGTGGCCAGTTGGTTTGCACCCAGCAAGCACTCAGAGTCGCGGTCTTCGCCCAGCTTGCTGAGCAACACTTTCAGCTCCTCAACGAGAGTTTAGGGTTTAGGGGGTTTAGGGGGTTTAGGGGGTTTAGGGGGTTTAGGGGGTTTAGGGGGTTTAGGGGGTTTAGGGGGTTTAGGGGGTTTAGGGGGTTTAGGGAGCTTTAGGGAGCTTTAGGGAGCTTTAGGGAGGCTGTTTCGGGAGCTTTAGGGAGCTTTAGGGAGGCTGTAGGGTTTGTAGGGTTTATGCCTCTAGTGTGTTAAGTGTCAGGGGTCGTACTTAAAGTTTCAAAGTCTACAGGTTTAGGGCGGAGCAGACCTGAGAGACTTGGGGATTTAGGGGTTTCAGGGTTGAGGAAGGGGTTCTAGGTTGCTTTGGGGCTTTAGGGTTTAGGGTTGAGGGGTCTCGGGTTCTAGGGGTTTAAGGCTTAGAAGGTTCAGGGTTTACTTTTACTATTCCTGATAGCGAATCAAAAACTATAGGTGCTTCCCTTTCCTGCATAAAGCCCTTTAAGGGACTGGTACCTGCTTCCGCAGACTCCGTGCAAGGAACCAGCAGGTCGGGATTAGGGTTTAGGGTTGTTGGCTAAGGGTTTAGGGGTCCGCCAACCCTCCCCCTCCTGTCCGTTAAAAACCCCCACCCCCCCAGCCCCCCCCACCCCGCCCACCCCCCCCACCCCCCCCACCCGCCCCCACACTACCCTCCCCCCCACTCACCCCCCACCCCTCTGACCGACTCGACTCATGTCTCGCGTTCGGGGTAGCTTAGGGACTTCTCTAACTTTCCCCCCCCCCCCCCTTCCCCCCGCCCCCCACTCCCCCACTCCCTGGCGAAATTTAGGGTTTTGGGTTTAATTTTGGGTTTAGGGTGTTGGGTTTAATTTTGGGTTTAGGGTTTTGGGTTCAGGGGTTTGGGGCTTACAGTTTAGGTTAGGGACCACGGCACATCGTGCCACATTTCGCTGGACACAGCAGGAAACTACAATTCAACCCGGCACCTTCCACACACGTCCCCGCACAACTTTTTCATGGAGAGTTTTAAGGAGGCTCATGACACCCCAAAGCAGATGCAGTCGTTTCCTAAACCCTAAACCCCAAACCTATACCCTACAGCCCAACCAAACCTGCCCCAAAGGTCGAACCCAAAGCCCTAAGGCTACCCTAAAGACAAGAGCATTAGACCCACAGAGGCTCAAAACCTGGAGTGAGGGTTCTTGAGGGATTAGGGTTCTGGGTATAGGGTGTGGAGTTTAGGGTTAGGGGTTTGGGATTTAGGGACTAGGGTTGAGGCTTCACGGGGGGGGGGTTGCCTATGTTGCAACCTTACGCCAACCACTCCAACAGTTCGAAGCCTCTACCCCCCCATTCCCACAACACGGCCTCAAACCCCCGAACCCTGGTTTCTGGTTCATAGTTGGGATAGTAATAAAAGTTTAAAATCTTACTCCTTGTTGAGTTTAAGTACCCTTAAAAATGTAAAATGTTACCCCCACTATGATAAAGGTTTGAGGGTTGAGAGGCTTATGGGCCTCTGGGGTCGGCGGCCTGAGCCGGAGGCTCCTAAATTAGGCTTTAGGGGTTAGAGTTTAGCGGTTCGGGGCGTCTGGCGTCTCGGAAAAAAAAGCTTGCTCTTAAAAACAATGGAATAAGGGCACCGCTGGTGTGGGGGGGGAGGAATTGAGGTTTAGGGTCTCGGGTTAAAGTTTACTTGGAAGTTCATGGTACTTTTTAACCAGGTTTAACTGTACTTATAACCCACTTGTTAGCCCCTTAAGTGCCCTAATGAGGGTTATGATTGGGTTGTAAGTACAGTTATCATTGGGGCAATAAGTACTATGAACCTCCAAGGAGGCTTTAGGGTTTAGGGTTTAGGGTTTGGGGGTTCCAAGTGCTGCCAAGAAGTCCGGAAAGCCGATGCATTCTGGCCGCGGACCCCGGCACTGGCCCATCCTCAACGCTGGCAAAATTGCAGAGCCGACTGTCTGGATTTCGGGGTTTTAGGGGTTTTAGGTGTTTTAGGGGTTTAGGGGTTTAGGGGTTTAGGGGTTTAGGGGTTTAGGGGTTTAGGGGTTTAGGGGTTTACGGGTTAGGATTTTGGGTTTAGGGTCTGGGGTTTAGGGCTTAGAGTTTGGGCAGAGCAAGTGGGATAGGAGTTCCCAGACCAGCCAGAACCCCACTGCTGGGGAGATAAACCTTGTACCCTCAACCCTAGACCCTGAACCCTAGACCCTAAAGGCCCATACCCTAGACCCTAAACCCTAAACCCTAAACCCTAAACCCTAAGCCCTAAGCCCTAAGCCCTAAGCCCTAAGCCCTAAGCCCTAAGCCCTAAGCCCTAAGCCCTTATCTACCCCCAAAGCAAAGTCGAAGCCAAAGCAGCGCCGGTGGCAGCTTGTCGATGGTGTGCTCAAAAAGCCTGAGATGTCGAGGGGTTGAGGGTTTAGGGTTTTAGGTTTTAGGGTTTAGGGTTTTAGGGTTTAGGGTTTGGGGTTTAGGGTTCAGGGTTTACAGTATTTAGGGTTTAGCCAGGGCTTTCGGATTTGAGGGTTTTAGCGTTTGAGGGTTTGAGGGTTCTAGGGTTTTGGGAGTTTGGGTCTTCCGTTGGGGCGGGCCAGTTCAGGGGTATAGAAAGGTGTACATAGACATAAAGGCGTATGGAAGGGGTATGCAAAGTATATATAAGGGCTCTATAGGCGCGAAGTTTCGGCTGAACAGGACCGACTCTCATCCTGTCATGAACTCCTCGCAACCCCCTCAGGGACCCGAAGCCCCTAAAGCTCCTTAAAGCTCCCTCGAACCCCTAAAGCCCCTAAACTCAAGCCCATAAACCCTGAACCCTCTAGCAACCCCTCCTATCCAAGAATTTAGGGTTTAGGTTTTAGGGTCTAGGGTTTAGGGTGAGGGTTTAGGGTTTAGTCCTAAGGGTTTGGGGTTTAGTCCTTAGGGTTTGGGGTCTAGGGCTTAGGGTTTAGGGTTGAGGGCTTATGGTTTAGGGTTTAGGGGTTTAGGGAGCCTTCAAGCCCTTAACCCGACACCCGAACCCTAAACCCCAGAAACCCTGATCCTATTGCCTCCCCGAGGGCCAGGGCACTCCTCCAGCAATCTGACCACGCAGTTGCTGGCCTCCACAGAACACGTTGAATGTAGTTTAGGGTTTAGGGTTTAGGGTTTAGGGTTTAGGGTTTAGGGTTTAGGGTTTAGGGTTTAGGGTTTAGGGTTTAGGGTTTAGGGTTTAGGGTTTAGGGTTTAGGGTTTAGGGAGTTGCGTAATATGGGTAGTTCTCTAGATTAGGGTCCCTTTTTGGGATCCCTTTTTTAAAGGGTGCCGCCCTGTAATGGGTACCCACAAAGAGACCCCAATTATTTAGGAAACTACCCGTGTAGTTCTGGGTGCAGGGTTGGTGGGCTTGGGACGGTTGCACCACTGACTACCACCAAATCCTCTAACCCCAAAACCCTACCACTCTAAACCCAACCATAACCCCTCGAAACCCTGTAAACCCTCTAAACCCTGTAAACCCTGTAAAACCCTGCAAGCCCTGTAAACCCTCTAAACCCTAACTGCCCAAACCCCAGCCCGGAAGAGCGTTCTTTGCGCCTGCACGATGCCGTCATGCGAGCGATAGTTGATGAGGAGGCTCCACAGCTCCTTCAACGCGGTGGGCGAGGAGGTCGGAAAGAACACCTCCTGCGGCCGCAGAAAGGTTAAGGAGTGACGGATGTGGGCCTATAAGCCCTAAACCCTAGTCCCTAAAGCCCTTAAGGGTTTAAGGGTTTACGGGTTTAATTAAAGGTTTAAGGGTGTAAAGGTTTGAGGGTTTAGGGGTTTGAGTTTTGATTTAAGGCCTTGGGCTCTGAGTTTAGCGTACAGCTAGTGCGAATCTATTCTCCTCCTACCCGCGGAGAAGTTTTCCCAAAAATCCTGGGGTGCGAACCTCGAGAAC